CTGAGGGTCTTTACCAAGGTTTTAGTTGCCCTGATTGCCTTACTGAGAACCAAGGGGGTATCACTATACCCTTACTTAGATGATATTCTAGTCAAAGCCAACTCATACGATCTGACAGTTCAGTCTTTGGAGACCACAATGAAGGTACTCCGGGACCATGGGTTCGTGATCAACATAGAAAAGAGTTCACTAACACAGAAAAGAGTTCAATCCTTACTCCATCTGGGAGTATACATCGACACAGTGAGCAACAAAGTGTTTCTATCTCAGGAGAGGCAGCAGAAACAGATACAGCTGACACAGAAGGTCATCAGCCAGCAGAACGTAGAGATTATAACTCTAGCACAGTTACTGGGAATGCAGGTATCATGCCAGGACATACTTCCTTGGGCCAGGTTCCATGCACGTCCTCTGCAGCATTTTCTCCTTTCTTTTCAAGGTCTGATAGCTCAGAAGAAGGTCAAAAAGGTAGTCCTACCACAAGCAGTGAAACAGTAGTTAGCTTGGTGGCTGGAGCTGAGCTGCTTCTCAGAGGGCATGCCACTCAGGGATCGAGTCAGGGTAGTCATCACGACGGATGCAAGCTTGTTTGGCTAGGGAGCACATATGCAGGGGAAAATGGTGCAAGGCACTTAGAAGCTGTCAGAGAAATCCAGCAGTATGAATTTACTGGAACTGAGGGCAATCAGGCTAACCCTAGTGGCATTCTAACAAGAGATTGTGAGCCGTCACATTTTGATCCAAATGGACAATGTAATGGCGAACGCCTGCATAAACAGGCAAGGGGGCTCTCACTTGAAATGTTTGCATAAGGAAGCAAGCCAACTGGTGAGTTGGGCAGAGATACACATACAGTCCATAAAGGTGATTCATGTGGCAGGCCGGGAGAACATGGTAGCAGACTGGCTGAGCCGACAGAGGGTCGACCAGTAGAAGTGGATGCTAAACAAGACAGTGTTTACTCAACTTTGTTACAGAATTGGGACTTTGGAAGTGGATCTATTTGACACAGAACAAAATCAACAAACAAAGTTTTTCATGTCAAGGCTAAAGAATCCAATGGCAATGGGAACAGATGCACTGCATTACGAGTGGCCAAAGACACTTCTGTACGCCTTCCCACCATTACAAGTCATTCAAAGGGTAGTCCAGAGAGTCATAGACCAAAAAGCGGAAATCATACTAGTGACTCCATTCTGGCCCCAACGGGCCTGGTTCCAGGAACTCATAAGGTTGTCGGTGAGGGATCTATGGCGTCTACCCTTAATGCCGGATCTTCTAATGCAGGGGGAGATTGTTCATCCTCAGCTGGCATTGTTAAGCCTAACAACCTGGAGATTGAGTGGGAACAACTTACAAGCATAGGCTACTCTGAGGGGGTGGTTAAAACTATGCTAGCAGCCAGGATGGTCTCCACTAATAAGGTCTATAATACCACTTGGCAGGTGTTCCAGTCTTGGTGCATACAGAGAGGTCAGGACCCTATTAGAGCTCCAGTGTCACAAATCTTGTCTTTTCTCCAAGAGGGGTTGGATAAAGGCCTTAACACAAATACGCCGAGGTGGCAGGTGGCAGCTATATCAGCCATCAGGGGAGCGAGGAAAAGTCATTCGTTATCTAGGCATCCTCATGTCAAAAGGTTCCTAAGGGGGTTGTTGTTGTTCAGTCGTGCAGTCGAGTCCGACTCTTTGCGACCCCGTGGACCAGATCACGCCAGGCCTCCCTATCTTCTGCCTTCCTCTGAAGTTGGCTCAATTTCCTAAGGGGGACGTCCCTGTTAAATCCCCTGGTAGCACATGGTTCCCAACATTGAACCTCTGTTTGGTCCTTAAGGCACTGTGTAAGGCTCCCTTTGAGCCTATGGCTACCTGCCCTTTAAAGGGATTAACTTTCAAGACAGTGTTCCTGGTGAGCATCACTTCAGCAAGGAGGGTGTCAGAGTTGGGGGCCCTCTCCATAGATAAGGAACTCTGTATTTTTCACAACGACAGAGTGGTGCTTCGCAGTGATCCAGCCTTTGTTCCCAAGGTTAATTTGGCTTTTCACAGGTCTATGGATATTATACTTCCATCCTTCTCTCCAAATCCCAAGACTGATAAAGAGAAGGAATGGCATTGTCTGGACATGAGAAGGGCACTTAGATTTTATCTGAATAGGACAAGGCACGTAACAACCACTGATTCCCTCTTTGTCTCATTTAGAAAATCGGCTATGGGAAGGAAGGTCTCGCCTTCCTCCCTGAGCAGATGGATTAGAGGGTGTATATGTTTGGCATACAAGGCTAGGGGCTTGGAACCTCCACAGGGGGTGATGGCGCATTCCCTTAGAGGGGAGGCTACATCTGCAGCCTACAGGGCTTTCCCATCTTTGGAAGTCGTGTGCAAAGCAGCTACTTGGAGGTCGGTGCACTCATTTACGAGGCACTACAGGATAGACAAGGTAGCATTGGTAGATGCTGCTTTTGGCTGCAGAGTCTTACAGCACACCCTGTAGTTGGGGAAGCAGTTGGACCCACCCTGGAGGGTACTGCTTTTTCACATCCCGGGAGTAAAGAGTCTGAAGGACTGCCCCACTCCTGGACCATCAGAGAATGGAAGATTTGTCTCCACTTACCGTGAAACTTCCTTCTTGATGGTCCAGAGTGGGGTAGTCCTGCCCACCCTTGTATTGGGAACCACTTCCTCAGTTGGCGGGGGTGTTGTTGGCTGTCCAGCCAGGTACAGATAGAGGTTTATTCCTGACCGAGGTTCTTTGCAAGGACGGGTGTTTTATGTTGTTGACTGTTTAGCTCCCCGTTGGGAGTAGAATGTTGTCAGTTCCTTTTCAGTGAGGGGAATGGAGGCTTGGAGAATGACTGGGTTCCAGGAGACAAGCCCCTCCCCCTCTGTGCCTACAGAGTCTACTGGCCCTGCCTTTGGAGAGGAGGAGCTTTCCCAGGAGTAAGGAGTCTGAAGGACTGCCTCACTCTGGACCATCGAGAAGGAAGCTTCACGGTAAGTGGAGACAAATCTTCCATTCTTTTCATGTGTAAAATTGTAGAAACACCCCCTCCCTGCTTTCTCTAGACAGTAAAGGTATAGGGACAGTGAATGTCTCTTGATACCATGTAATCTGTTATCATACACAAACACTCTTTGTCAACTGAAAGTGCATGTAGTTTTGAAACTGAACTACCTATTTGATCTATAAGGTGAATGATATGCATTTAGTAACAGACCTGTAGAGCATGAAAGTCTGCAGGAAGAAATGCTGAAGAGAGAGACCACATCATTGTGAACAGGTTACTTTGCTTCTGACTAGCATGGTTTGGATTGTCCTTGTTGGCTATGCATTCGTAGCTGGTTGTTGGCACTTTGCTTTTACTCTTGTGTTAAAAGCACATGAATGTGCTGTTGAGTCATTTGGGAAAATTGGGCTGTCCTTAGAATGTAGAGATCTCTGGCCACAAAACTAGCTTTGATTACTAACCCTGGTGAAATGAATAAGGTCTTAGTGCTTTGGTGATACTGTTTTTTGCCACACTTTCTTGCAGCATATTAATATGAAGTCAATAATTCTGCCCTGGGTAGAATTTACATTTTGGGATGCTATGCCCATGCTCTCATCCATGCTCTTTAATATATAGGAGGCTGCTGAATGAGATTGTCCAGAGCTTTTGGGTTGGGTTTCATCAGTATGCAGATGACATCCATCCTCCATCTTGGTTCTAAACTAGTGCTTTGAGGCTATGGCTGGGTGGCTAAGGCAGAACAAACTGAAGCTGAATCTAGACAAGAGAGAGATAATGCTGGTGCAGAAGGCTGGTGTTCAGGGGGGACTGAATCCACTTGTCCTAGAGGGAGTGATGTTGGGTTTTTCAGAGCCATGCTGTTTGAAAAGGAAGGTGGCATGGTGGTCAGAAGCACCTTCTATCAGCTGCATTTGATTTACTAACTTTCTTTTGATCAGCTGGTCTGGCCCTGCTGACCAGTGCTTCTGTAATCTCACGGTTGGATTACTGCAACACACTCTGCATGAGGCTGTCCTTCAAGACAACCCAGAAACTACAGCTGGTCAAGAATGCAGCAGCCCAACTGTTGTGAGGGGCTAGCTGCTGGGAACATACGTGACCCATTTTGAAACAGCTACATTGGCTGCCAGTCTGTTTCCAAGTTCAGTTCAAGGTGCTGGTTATGAGAGCCCTTCACAACCTGAGACCCACATATCTGAAGGATCTCCGTATCTGTGTGCACCAACTATGGGCATCTGGTAACCATTTGTAGACTGGCATTGACCACAGCGTGGCCCCTTTCCATCATGGCTCTGATTCTGTGGAATGGGCTCCCTGAAGAGGTGAGACCCCCCTCTCCCACTGGATATTTTCAGGAGGCACTGCAAGGCCTACTTGTTTGCCAGGGCTTTGGAGGGGGTTTAAATGGCAGGCATCTTTGAAGGGGAGTGGGGGGAAGGGATTTGGAGTTTGCTATTTTATCTTTGTTTTTAGCTAGGGATGTTTGAACTATTATTGTAAGCTGCTCTGAATCAAGAGAAAAGATGGGATATAAATGTTTTAATAAAATAAAGATGGTGCAGGTAGATGTGTCCAATGCAAAGTGGTCAGTACCTAGAAATCTGCTAGTCATGTATTCTCACAGACACCCCTTCCCAGTATGGAGGTTCCACAAGGTGAGTGCCTGTAAAGAAACTGCTTGTTATATCAAATTTATAGTAATTACAACACCGCTTTTGAGTAGTTTGAAACAGTTTGAAAAATTATCTGGAGTTTAGGTATACCACCAGATCTTTTACAGTGAAGCTAAACTCCATTGTTTATTGATCAGTCTGTTTCATGAAGTCCAAGCACTACAAAGTTTAAGAAGGCATCATTCACCAGCGCAATACTGAATAAGAAACATGTAAAATATCCAAAAGGCTCCAACATAACACTTGGTTTGTAAAGTGACAGGGCGGCAATGGACTGACTTAGCTCACACCTACTTTTAATATTCCTTTCTTTATAGTGGGAGTCAACTTGTTCTATTTTTGTATAATCATCTACCTCTATGGCGATCTGGCGATCTATGCAGCTGCAGTCCCAGTTTCTCTTATGCAGGTGACCTGGTGAGTGTGCTTTTAATGAAAGGGTTTTTTTTTTTAAACATCAGTTTTTTAAAGCATCTTGCTGAAATGTTGGTGAATGGGGTAGTTCCTTCACCTTAGGGGGCTCAGACAGATGGCTGACCTATGAGTTGCATTTAAGTGTTCTCTTGAATGCTCATTAATAGACATTCAGGACTGCCTCATTTTTATAGGGCTGCAGTGTTTCCTCAATCAATTAAATCAATTGATTAAAAGGTGTCCCTGATGGATTAGCAGTAGACTTTCAAAAATAATGGAAGTACTGATAAAACAAATACTACCTTAGAAGCATCCCCCTTTCTCTCCCACACAGGAGATAATACCTCTTCTAAGACAGGTTCTAGTGGGATATGTGTGGACATTGTCTAAAAACAAAACAAACCGTTTCTTTAGAATTGTTTGTTCTCAATCAAATAATGCAGATTTAATCAATTAAATCATGCAGTTAATCAATTACAATGTGTGTAATTCGGTGACAATCTGAACGTACAGTTTTTTATTGACAGTTCTGTTATTTGCAGCTATTTGATGATGCCAAAGCCAAATAACTTGTTTCTTCATGCTCCCCAAAGCAGTGTTCTAGAGGAATATGATGGTGCTTGGTGTGTTTTGCACACCTGCCTTCTTCATGAGCCTTTCTTCTGTGTAATGGTGACTTAGAAGAGGCTCTTAATGTTTCCAGAGGTGGATTAATTATGGTCTGCTTTTGTTCTCCTCATCAGCAGTGGGAGTGGCAATAATTCATACAGTGATGAAGATGGCTCAAAGTATAACGACACTGCCAAGTGCTGGGGTCCAATTAGACGGATTGATGCTTACAGAATTTATTTGGTAAGTGTCCACAGCTAAGATTACTGACTGAATTTTACATTATTTTTAAGTAATGTTTCTAAAGTGATAGTTACGCATTCTATGCTTCTTCGCTTTCCTTCCCCTCCTCTAGCTTTTGCAAAAAATCAGGGAGTCAAGTGGTTTCCATGGACACTCTGAGTGCTGTACTAAGCAGAGTCACACCTAAGCCCATTGACTTCAGTGGACTTAGAAGGGTATAACTGCGTAGGATAGCACTGTTTTACTCACTTGGTCAGCTTTGTAGTGAACAGCCATCCTTAGTCCACCTAACTAGAAATGAATACTTGAATCAATATAGTGGGCAATCAAAGGTAATCAGATGTGGTTGCCCCTGCTCTAACCTCATTGGATAGTTTCTTTCGAGTAGATTTAAAGTATACATGGAAGTATGGTGTCCTGATTACTTGTCCATTTTATTTTGCCACTTACTGATAACTTTTTCACTTTTCCTTCTGTTGGGCCACTCTTCAACTTTTTATTCTCCGGCTGAGCCACTGATAGCTACATTCCAGTGTTGGGTAAAGTCATGAGGGTCTTATAAAGCAATGGAAGTTTATATTAGAATGCATCTTGAGATTCAGATCACTTCTTGCCTTGTTATCTGTAGTGTGTTTGCTGAGATGACTTATGCTGAACACTTCAGCTGTTTTAATAAAGCTGTACCTTGTATGTTCACCAAGTTTCCAACCAGTTGCTTCCCACCCATTAAGAAAGCTGGTTGTCTCTATTGGTCTTGTTTCACTAGCATTTCAATGAGTATTAGGAAAACAAATTTAGAGTCCAGTGGCACCTTTAAGACCAACAAAGTTTTATTCAAGGTATGAGCTTTCCTGTGCATGCACACTTTTTCAAAGTATTAGATGTTTCTCTGACTTGTATGCCTGTACAACAACTGGGTGCTTTGAAGCATCCATGCCAGAAACTTGCATTGACTTCTGTATCAGATACAAGATACTATTCAAGAGCAAAAGATTTAGGGCAAGAAATGGAAAAGGTTTTTTTTCTGAACGTAAAAACCAAGCCGAGAACTCCAGAACAAGAATCAAAGATGAAAAATAAATCTTGCAGATGAAGGTAAACTGGGTGACAGGGTGGAAATGACCTGGAGCAATATCTAGTTTTCATTTGAGACTGCACACCTTGGGGGGGGGGAGTGGGGGCTTGTGTGCTGACTGGATCATTTCCCTGAGTAGCACACTTTATTATTATTTTTCGTAATAATGCTGAAACAGGAGCTAGGCCTCAGGAATATTAGCAAATGCCACAGCCTGGTTAATTATTTAAAAGAAATATTATTGCTTTATTAAACTGCATCTAGGCTTATTTCTTCAAAATTTCTACATGATTGAAGATTTCCTCACTGAATTTCAATAACTCTGACTCACCAGAAGGAACTCATCAGGAAAGGCATACATGCATTAATTACTGCCTGCACCTCCCAGATATTGCACTTATAATTCATAAAGATAATTGTCATTAGTCAAAGTTTTAAAAAACTAGCAGCAATGTGAAAGTATTTGCTCTGAATGGGCAAATTCCATGATAATGTTGTCCTTGCTTGTTTTTTTTTAATATTATTGTTTGAAGGCTGTTTTATCATGTATTAACTCTTTGTCTCTGACTTGGTCAGAGTTTCAGTCCTGTTTTTCCTTGCTAATTTCAGCACCTTGTTAGGTGGGATGACCAGTTGCTTCTAAAAAAAGGGAACAAGGAAGTGAACTGAATCTACAGAGCTTGTTGTGTAAACATCTGGATTGAGGCAATTGAGGTAGCTTCATACGGAAACTGAATGAGTTAGGGTATATGAAAGGGGCCTTGAACTCTGTTGTAAAATTCTGCATTGGTTTCTGTTTTTGTGTACATATAAGGTTGTTTAAGTCCTAGACCTTTGCACAGAATCACCTTGGTGTTCTTTAGGCCCTTTCCCCAAAAGCAAATAACTTGTTTCCTGAAGTCTAGGGTTTTCCCACTTTTTTTCTTCTTACAATACTGGAGCATTCTACATGGCTGACATAGGACCTCTACGACAAGCTAGTTCCAGTGTAGGAAGGAATGAAGATTTGCAACCTGATGTTAGACCACTTTATTTGGATAGCCTGTTAGATACAATGGGAGTTCCTAGGAAGTATTAGAATGTTAGTCAAAGAGAGAGTGGATGCCATGCCTTTAAAATTGTGCAGCCTTCTTCAGAAATAGTAATGTTATAATTTTTTGTAATACCTTGATTGACAAACAAGCTCTTTCTTAAGAATCTGAAAACGCTACACTTTTACTTCTACCAATTGTGGTACATTTTCTAATTTGTGTACATTAATTCCCACATTGGTTTGTGGTTGTACAGCTAGCAAAAATTTAAAAAAGGTATTCTTATCTTTTTTGCCCAGTTTTTTCTTTTTTATGCCAGTTCTTTCTTTTGAAATTTGTGACAATCATAGTACTGGGCTAATTATGCCTTTTTCATCATAAAAATAACAGTTTCTTGGGAAAGCCTTCCTGTCTCCTTCATGTTTTTCTGTACTTACTTCCTCTTCCCCTCCATTGCAATAATAATGTTTTAACATGGCATCTTGGGGCTGGGAAAGGGGAGAAGAAAGTGACTGACATAAAACTCTGATTCATGATTTAATGTCTCCAAAGTCCTTTGAAGACAGTCTCTCTTCCTATGTTTCATGAATAAAAGTAGAATTCTACTTCCCTCCCTGAGAGGCAAGATTTCCCTTCCATTTTTCTTTCTCTTCTGGGACTGAGCCACCCTGTTATCTGTTTTCTTCTTTCCTGAAGAACTCTGGCTGTCCCACCCTGTCAAAGTATAATATTTTGGCTGCTTGCTCAGCCCAGGAACCTGAGGGAATGATTGGGAGCCCCCTTTAACTTTAATGGCATTTGAGACATTTTTATGTTTCAAATTAACTAAATATTTTATTCAACATAGAGGGCAAAGGGCATCAAGCACTGCAGTTTCTGAGGTAGCTCAATATAGATAACTCTGAGGTAAAATCAGTACATGCACAGACTTTAGTTCTTGTGTTTCAGGCTAATGAGAGTTTCTTAAGCTTTTTACAGTGACTTAAATCTTTATGCTGAGAGGGTTTTGTTCCAGGGTTTTCCCCAAACACTTTAGTACACTTTATTTGAATATTATCTGCCTCTTTTGGTTTACAGAAGACTGGCATACTCTTTCCAGGACCCAAACCCCTTCTCTTGAAACACCAGTACTCCTCTTGAGTTTTTAACTGACTTTTAAGGTCTCTAAAGGCAGGTTTTAACCATACCAGAAGAGGGATCTCTGTACTCTTCAGACCTATCACCCTGTGTAGACTGGGTAGGGAAATTCCTTCTCTCTCTAGAAGATCTGTCCCCTTTCCTTGGTCCAAATGGTAGTCTTCACCTAACTTCCAACTTCCTTGCCAACTTTCCCTCAGTTCTCTGTCTATAAATTGCTCTCAGCTAAGGCTGAAATCAGACTTAGTTAAGGCAGAAATCTGACTGACTCTCTCCTCAGCATGCAGCTCTTTCGAGACTTTATCTGTTAAGCTGATGCTAACCAATCAGATTCCTTGGAGCAGCCTCGTCAGATCTCGAAAGCTAAGCAGGGCTGACGCTGGCAAGTACTTGGATGGGAGACCTCCAAGGAATATCAGGGCTGGGACGCAGAGGCAGGCAATATCAAGCCACCTCTCTGAAATGTCCAAGCCCCACTAGGGGTCGCCAGATGTCAACCATGACTTCCAGGCGCACGCACACACTACTCACCAAAAAAAGTGCAGTCCATCACAATGCCATCTACATAATGAGAATATTTAGACAGATTAAACTGCTCTTTGATTTTTAATATTGCTCTACAGACTCCAGCACACCTAAGCGTGGCTGCATTGTCTGCACACAGTCTACTGGGCTTACATTAACCTTCATCCTGCAGAAATGTCAGTATTATCTCATTTCTCTTGTAAATCACCTTTGAAAGTACAGTCTTGCAAAATAAATAGGTAATGGAAAGCCATGTTGTTGATGTGCAAATCAATCTTCTGCTCCCTCCCCTTGTGATACCATTTAATGCTCAATTCTGTGTTCATTATTTTGAGGAGGCAGATGGGTTTTAAAGGTAAGGTATATGGATTATTAATATTTTCTTTGTAACCCAGGTAGTGGTGGCAGTTCTGGTAACCGTGATAGCACTGGTTGGTTATATCTCCCTGTAGTAGATGGATTAAAATGGTCTTTGTCACAGCAGACAGACAGACAGCTGTGGAGTACCATTGGATCCTCAGTTGCTCCTTGAGACGCAAGTGTAGACTAGCGTGAAGTGCTTTCCCCCCTGCTTCCTGATGTTAAGAAACCATTCTGCCTTCTGTATTCTGCTGTTCTGGCCACACTGATCCAAGCTACCATAACCTCAAAGGCTGATTACTCTAATGTGCTCTGCATGGGTCTGCCCTTGAAAATGTCTCATAAACTGCAGCTGGTGCAGAATGCAGCTACTTTCTTGCTTACTTAAATGGGTAGATATGAATGTATATCACCATTGTTGAAGCAACTGCAAGGCTTCCAATTTGTTCCTTGGTTGACTTTTGAAGACTGTGATGACTTGGGCCCAGATGTCTGAGGGGCTGCCTCTCAAGGTGTAGACCCGTGCACATATTTAGATCTGCCAGTCAAGTTCTTTTATTCATCCACTTTCATCTGTTAGTGTGATTAACCTCAATGTTCTTTGTGGATGCACCACATTTATGGAAGAGTGTTCTTGAAGAAATCCAACACGTCCTGAACCTCTTGTCCTGCAACATGACATGTAAGACCTGGGAGTTTCAGCAGGTCTTTTGTTGGTAGTTACTTGGATGCTACTGTTGATGGCTATTTGGACATCTGAGTGCTATGTAAATAGAACTAACCTGAACATTGTGTGGTAGGTATTGAGATGATAGGCTTTGTGGGTGGTTTCATAAAAATCAATATTGTTTTTGTTTTGAATTAAGATTGAT